CCTGCGCCCCCGGCCCCCCCCCCCGTCCCCCACATGCCCCCGCCTACGATCCTTCTGCCCCACGTGCCCCCTGTGCCCTGCGTATGCCCAGAGATCCACACATCCTGTGCCTCATAGGCCTCCCTGTACCCTACCCATGCCCCGTGCCCCACACGCCTCTTGGCACACCAACACGCATCCCTGTACCCCCAACCTACTGTTTCCTGTGCCCCACACCTCCCTCTGCCCCAATTCCCTGCCCTATGCCCCAACACCCCCATATTCATCATGCTCTATATGCCCCCCCAGCCCCCTGTGCCCTGACACTCCCTGTTCTCCTCATGCCCCCTGTTCCCCACCAGCCCCCTGTACCCTCACAGCCCCTCTGCCCCACACTCCTCCCCGTGCCCCACATGTCTCCACTCCCTCCTTGCCCCGCTCCTCCCCGGGCTGCTCCGGGTACCCGCGGGCGCCGGAGTGGGCGGCAGCAGAGGCTTGGCAAGAAGCGGGGGCTCTTTAGGGCCGCCCAGAGGCAGCTCTATGGCCACTGGCCAGGCCCTGCCCGTCCCGGCTCCTCTTGACTCCGTGCCCTGCCCCAGGGGACGTGTCCGGGGCTGGGTTATTTTCTTTCTCCCCTGCCGAATGCGAGCAGGGGACCGTCCTGTGCGCGAGCGGCTCTTCCTGCCCGCAGTTTGCCCTCTCTTATCTTGCCCAGCCTGAGGACTTGGAGGCAGGCGACTCCACGGGGAGCCCAAGGCGAGGTGAGGGAGCCCAGGGGGGAGCCCACAGACGCTTTGGTCAACGCAGGATCGCGACTGGGATGAAGTCAGGGATCGCTCTCGCTCCTCCCCGCCGCGTCCTCCCCGCTGCCAGGCTCCTTTTCCCCATCCCGCCGCTTTGCCCACTCCGGCGCTGCCTGCGCATGCGCTCGGGGCCGCGGCGCCGCCTCGGGCACCGCTTTGGCGCTTCCCGCCCGCCTCGCAGAAGGAGCAGAGCTAATAAACGGCACCCTCCGCTGGAGGACCAAACCCGTGTGCCGTGTGCTTCGCACCCCGCCCGGGGGGGACACAAGGAGCTGCCTCCTTCCCTGCTGGGTGACATCCAGCCGAGCGGGGTGTCCTGCGCCCTGCCACGCCGCCCCCTTCGCTGTGGGTGCTGCAGCCCATGAGCATCCCCAGCTGGGGAGAGGGAACCGGGGCGGTTTTGCACATTCCGGAGGGAGGCTGGGCTCTGTGTGTGCAGGGAGCGGTGTGTGCCGCTTGGAATTGCTCCGGGATTTAACCCCTTGCGGAGCCTGAGCCCCCTCCGCTGGCACCACATGAACCTCACCTCCTGCTGGCAACCCCAGGCGCCCTGAGCCTCCGTGCAGCCCTCACGTGATGAACCCCTACGCGGAGCTCGTGAGCCGCCTGCGGGCGTCGTGGCTCGCGGGAAAGACGCGGCCCATGGAGTTCCGCGTGGCCCAGCTGGAGGCCCTGGGCCGCTTCCTGGATGAGAAGAAGCAGGACATCATGGAGGCCCTGGCCTCTGACATGCGCAAGGTGAGGCCAGACTCCTGCCAACAGGCCTGGCTTTCGGGGGATGCCGCCTGGTAACCCCCTTCCCAAAGGTGCTGGACAGTCCTTGGCATGAGGACCCATGGCTGTCTCCATGGGGCATCTGTGGGGCTGTGCCTGTGGTGGGGGGCACCGTGCTGACCTCCTCTGTGCCCCCAGCCCTCCTTTGAGGTGGAGATCTCCGAGATCTCCATCTGCAGGAGTGAGCTCAACCATGCCCTGAACAATCTGGGCAGCTGGATGAAGGATGAACACGTGGAGAAGAACTGGGTAAGAGCCAGCGGCCGGGCCACTCTCGTTGGGGCAGGCACAGAATGTGAGCAAGGGGCTCCTCACACCGTGTTTCCCTCCCCAGGTGACGCAGCTGGACTCAGCCTTCATCCGCAAGGACCCCTACGGGGTGGTGCTCATCATCGTGCCCTGGAATTACCCCATCCACCTCCTCCTGGTACCCCTCATCGGGGCCATCGCTGCGGGTGAGTCTGGGCTGCGTGTGCCCCATGTTGGGGCTCACCAGGACCTCCACGTGGGGGTACCCTGCTGTCCTCCCTAGGGAGGCGAGGAGGTGGCTTTAGACCAGGGACAAGTTCTCAGCATCCCAATGCTGAGATTCTTATTGGGAGGGAGCCTCCATCCTGCAGGTAACTGTGTCCTCGTGAAACCTTCCGAGATCAGCAAACACGTGGAGCAGTTAGTGGTTGAGACGCTGCCGGGCTACTTGGACAAGGTAGGAGATATCTCTGTCCCGGCCCCCTTCCTCTCCGTTGGCTGCAGCGGGACTGTTCCTAGACATGTGCCCCTCTCCCAGCTGCTGTGGGTCCTGCCCCACACCTCTACCCCTCGCTGCTCAGCCCTCGTCTCCCACCCCACGCGCTCACTCTGCTCCTGCCCCCTGCGCTGCTGCCTGCACCGCAGGACTGCTTTGCAGTGGTGCCAGCTGGCGTGGAGGAGACCACCAAACTGCTGGAGAACAAATTTGACTACATCTTCTTCACTGGTACGTCCTCAGGGGACGGGGTCCACCGCTTGCACCTGATCCTCTTCAGGACAGGGACGGGAGTGTGGCAGCCAGCCCATGCCCAGCTGCGGGCAGCGATCTGCCCTGTCTGCCCTCCGACCCTGGTGGCACTCAGAGCACTTGAGAGCCGAGAGGGACAGTCCTCAGAGGGGGCCCCAACGCAGGGGGCAGCGCCGTGGCGCTGGGCGCTCAGTGCTGCCCTCCATGTCCTCAGGCAGCTCCTCCGTGGGCAGGATCGTCATGATGGCCGCCGCCAAGCACCTGACCCCGCTGACGCTGGAGCTGGGGGGCAAGAACCCCTGCTACGTGTGTGACACCTGCGAGGTGCACAACGCGGCCAGGCGCGTGGCCTGGGGGCGCTTCTTCAACGCGGGGCAGACCTGCGTGGCGCCCGACTATGTCCTGTGCAGCCCGGGCATGCGGGAGAAGCCCGAAGGAGTCGCCCGACTTTGCCCGCATCGTAGGGGACAAGCAGTTCCAGCGCGTGCGGGCGCTGCTGGGCAGCGGGAACGTGGCCATCGGAGGGCAGACGGATGAGCAGGAGCGCTACATCGGTGAGGACGCAGGGCCACGGGGCTCCCGCTCCCCACCACGGCGGCTGCTCTGAGGGGCTGAACTCACCCCCCCTACACGCGCGACCCTTCGAGGGGGCGGTTGATCCCCCCGGCAGGGCCGTGCGGATCCCGCGCGGAGCCGCTTCCCATGGCGGGAACGCTCCCCTTTCCGCAGCGCCCACGGTGCTGGTGGACGTGCGGCCGGAGGACGCCGTCATGCAGGAGGAGATCTTCGGGCCCGTGCTGCCCATCCTCACCGTGGCCAACGAGGACGAGGCCGTCGCCTTCATCAACGCGCGCGAGCGCCCGCTGGCGCTCTACGTCTTCTCCTCTTCCAAGAAGGCAGG